CTTCCACTTCTCCCCCCAACACCTCATTAATATCCGAGTTTGTTCTCAGCTCCAACCCTTGAGGAAGGCGGCAGAGCCGTCTGGCTCGCCTGCCACGAAGGGTTAGGTAAATAAGCACATGGCTCCTGGGGGAATGTGTCTGCTGCCACCGCTGCCCCCCTCTCCCTCCTGCAGCAATCTTAGCAGATTTACAGGCCTCCTGTCACCGAAGCATGTGCAGCTTCACCTTCACTCCCAGATCACCAGGGTGAGGGCTCCTGCTTTGTGGGGTTCCAGCAAAGCCTCAAGCTCTGAAACCGGGATGGCTTCTCCAGCCCCAACTTCAATCCCAGGTGCTGTCAGAGGCTCCCAGAACCCCCAGTTTCTAGACCCCAGCCCCTGTTTTTTATGTAGGATTGCATCAGGGTCTGGGGTCAGTGTCATGTACGATTTATTGGAAGTTCCATTCTCCTTTTGGAATTGGCCACTACATTCAGCAACCCATTCTTCACTGAGCAGCCTACTGGTGCAAGCCCTGGGGAGACAGGGAGTTGCATGTGGCATCTGTCCTGGGGAGACAGGGAGTTGGATGTGGCATCTGTCCACAGGTGTGCTCTGAGATGGGAGGAGAGCCAACACAAAAGTCGCAGACTCCCTCTGTCTTTGTAAAAGGCTCCAGTGATCAGCTCTCCTACGTGGGATTTTCCTTTCCTGCAGACAAAAGAACTATGTGAGTGATTCGTGCTTACTGCCTTGGTTTTCAGGAAACTAGTGCAAAATCAATGTTCAAATGTATTGTCTCTCTTAGCCGGATATTTCACTTATCTCCTCCCTCTACTGCATTTTTTTGGGGGAAGAGGATGGAGAGCCCTATTGAGCACCCACTGTATGCCTAGCACCATGCTAGATGCTGGATGCAGGGACAAATGAGACAAGGAAGACAAGATACTGGCTCTGCAAGAGCTCACAGTCATGTAGCAGATGCCCCAAAGCAAGCAGTTACAAAACATCGAGGCAAGTGCTGTAATGAAGGTGCTCTGGGTGCCAAATCAACTCTGAATTTTTATGAATTGTCCAAACCCCAGACAGCAGGTCAGGCCAGTTCTTGAGTCAGGGGGTGGGTCGGGATCAATAAGATGGGCATGATATTTGCACCTCCACAGAGGCTGAATGGAAAAGAAGCCAGTCCAAGCAAGTACAGTCCTGTGCTCCATGATGTCACATATGGAATATCACTTCAAACATTTCACATTTTCCTAAAATCCTATGTGCCTCCCTGACACTAGCTATTGATAATTCGTGTATTTTATTACGTGAGGTAGCAGGGTGGGCATTATAGCTCTGATTTACAGGTGAGAACGCTAAGGCCAGAGGGAGGAAGTGCGAGTCACCTAGCCTGTAAGCAGAGCCGAGGCCACACTTCATATTTGCTGACCTGGGCCAGGATTCTGTTATTTGCATTGCACCAAAGCTGCCACCACCTAGCCATAGGCAGGAGATCTCTCTGTACAACTCCTGATGGAGAGGATTCTGAGCATATCTTTGGGGAGTGTTATCATATCACTGGTGATGTGATAATGGAACAGATTACAAGGATCCAGGCGAAAAGGCTCCTCCTTCCCCCCAGCTTTCCTAAGAGAGGGCAGGAAGGAGCTCTGTGGGTGGGAAGAGGCCACCAGGTAGGCACCTGGGAGGCCCTTCAGTGACCCTGCCGCCCTGATAGTCAGCTCTGGGTGGCAGGGAGAATGAAGAATGCCTCCTTGAGCTGATGCTATGAAGCAACAGGCAGCACACACATGCGGGCATCTGGCAGTGTGGGGAAATCAGAACCCTTTTGCAATGAAAAACACAAGTTGCAAGTTGTATTTTGCCCCTGTTCTCATATTCAAGCACCCTGGTTTCTAGGAGCTCTGTCACATCAATAGCATGTTTAAAGAACCATTGTTCTAGAATTTTCTCCTCTAGACACACATGTCTTTGCCATTAGCAAAAAGGAGACTGGGCTCTGATGTGCAAAGGTTTGGCAATATGAAAAAGGACATCTCTCGCCCCCCTCCCCATAACACACACACACACACACACACACACACACACACACACACACACCTCCATGCAGTGCTAAAATACAAAATCTTCACCAGTCTGCCGTGGCTCAGTGGTTGAGCATCGACTATGACGCAGGAGGTCACAGTTTGATTCCCAGTCAGGGCCTATGCCCAGGTTGCAGGCTCAATTCCAAGTGTGGGGTGTGCAGGAGGCAGCTGATCAATGGTTCTCTCTTTCATTGATGTTTCTCTCTCTCTTTCTCTCTTCCCTCTCCTTTCCTCTCTGAAACCAATCAAAATATATTTTTAGAAAATACAAAATCTTCAGGCTCTTCTGTCTGCTGCCTTTGCACAGTATGTGAACTGACTGGTGGTTATCCTCCGAAAGTGCAGGTGTGGGATAAAGTCTGTCAGTGGGATTGAGACCAGGTCCTGCCTTTCCAGCTGGGCCTTGGAAGGAGCCAGAAACTGGGTTTAGGGTTCTGGGGTCTTATTTACACCCATACTCCCTGTTTGTCCTTGAGACAGTTGTGTCACCAGCATGGCCTACGAGGCTTCTCTCTGAGGCAGTAAGACCATGTGGGCATGGGGTGGGGAGTTGGGGATTGTGGGTGATCAAAGTCAATGGGGGGTGGGAAGTCAACCAGACATAGGCTAGGGAGTCCCATGGATGGGTTTGTGAGATTTACTCCTGACTTGAGACTCCAGGTCCGGTGGAGGTGCAGTGGCTTGGATATAATGGTGGACAGACCCAAGTTCTCCCACCATTTGGGGAAACTGTGCAAACATGACTGAGAGGTCAGCCAAGCCTGGAGGCAGAGGTGAGAGGATGTTATTTCCTAACACAACTCTTTCCAGGGAGGGAGTAAACAGACACATTTGGCGTGGGACTGAGGGCCTGGCCGGAGGGGAAAGGACCCCCTACCTCACAGTATTTTTCTCTGAATGCCCCTTGAATTGAGACACAGTTGCCTGGTCTCCTGCAGTCTGTTCTCAGTGAGGATTGTCTTCCCCAGCTTCTCTGCTGAGCTCTACCAATTGTTTAGGGATTAACCCTTTGCCATCCAAACTCTAGCTTTATCTCTCTAGGTCTCCGTCCCTCCATCTGCACCCCTCGGGCTTCGGTGCACCTTTCACTAGCCTAAAAATGACGAGAAGTTGCATCTGCAGATGCGTTTTGCATGCACGGTGGAATCACAATCTCCGTATGGGCACGAGTGCTTTAAGAAAATAGCCTTGCTTCTTCACAAACTCAAGTAGCTTTCCTTGGAATCTGTCCATCCAAAAATTTGGTCTGCAGCGTCCAAAGCCAGATCCCCTGGAGCCTTACAAACAAGCTGGCTGGCAAGGCAGCGCCTCCTACAGTGTCTGCCTTAAGCAATAGGAGGATCTGCGGCCCATTTGCCCCTCAGAAGCAGGGTTTCCAGCATCCGGTGCCTCCTTACACCCCCACTTCAGGGCACATGCAGTTCAGACCCGCGAACTTCCTAAGCTGCTCGCTGATGTCTCTTGTCCCTGGGGTCCGTCATAGCCACACTCAGAATTCCCAGGAACTCCGAGGCGGAGGGTGGCAAGGAGACTTCTGTTCCTGGGGGGCCAGGTGAGAAGGCCCGGCTGTGTTTCTGCTAATACTCTCCCCTTGCTGTCTGCTGTGACGGGGACCCTTGGTTTTGACTTGAGGTTCGTTCCTGGGCCAACTCTGAATGTAGCATGTGTGCCTGAGTGATGGATTCGATATTTACACACACCACCCTGATAAGTGCACATGTGTTTTTAATGTTTTGGCTTTCTACACCACAAACATGTCAATGTGGATATGCCTGCACACACAGACATGCTGTCGGGCTGGGACTTGAGTAGTTTTTCTCTTTTTTTCTTTTTCTTCCTTTTCTTTTCTTTTTCTTTTTAAACTGCCCTCCCAAAGCTAACACCTTTGCAAGCAATATTTCCCACCACACTGAACAACACTTAATGCCTCCGGGGTTGTTGGAGGGCCACCATCCGGTTGTCCCTCCCGAAAAGTCCTGCGTTTTGAAACCATCAAACAGCTCCAACCACGCACCTTCCTCGGGTCTTTACGGGGAGCCCAGCCCGGCCCGCTGGGAATTGAAAAGCAGACTTCCGTGGCTTCTGCCTTCCCGAGCCCCAGTTTGTCCAGGGGAAATTCGACTTGCCTTTTGAGTTGCAACTACAGAGAACAACACCGAAGAGGTGAGCTGCTTGCCTGGGAGGCTGTTGTTTGAAATGAGGAAAAGGTGTAAAAAAAAAAAAAAAATCTTCATGATCTCCTGAATTTGCAAATACAGTTCAATCCCTCGCTTCTCTGGGATCCCACGCAAGTTAATAACAGTGTTCCACCTTCTCTTTATCCACTCTGCACTTCTATTTCCCCTCCCTTTTATTTTCCTTTTCTCTCTCTCTTTGTTTCCCTTCTTTTATTTGCTTATTTAAAATTTTTTTTGTTTAAAATAAAATAAAATAAAATAAAATAAAATAAAATAAAATAAAATAAAATAAAATAAAATAAAATAAAATAAAATAAAATAAAATAAAATTTGTGTTTCAAGGGGTGTTGACCTGCATATATTAATAGTTCTAGGAAACCCGAACCCCGCTGCCAGGGAAGCGATTGGCTGATGGCGCGGGTGACGGACGTGCTGCCGGAGAGCGGCCCGCCGCAGCCGCGCGCTGATTGGCTGCGCGGGAGGCTCGGAGGCTCCGCGGCGGGCGCACCGGGCACTCGGGTCCTGCAGCCTCGGGAGTCGGTGCCGCGCTCCCGGGAGCCCGGGCAGCACTCAGGCCGCGCCCTCCCCGCCCCGCAGCAGGCCGAGGGCCGGAGCGCGCCGCGGAGCCGGGGGTCCGGCGCCTTTGGTCGCCGGAGGAGACTCCCTGGAAGTTCGCGGCGGGACGCGCGCGCGCGGGGAGACCGGCCGAGCCAGAGCCCCGACGCCGCGGGAGCGGGTGCGCGGAGCCAGCATGGGCAGCGGGCGCGGGGCGGCCGGGGGCGTGCTGCTGGCGCTGGCCGCCGCCGGGCTGCTGGCCGCGGGCTCGGCCAGCGAGTACGACTACGTGAGCTTCCAGTCGGACATCGGCGGCTCGTACCAGAACGGGCGCTTCTACACCAAGGCGCCGCAGTGCGTGGACATCCCGGCCGACCTGCGGCTGTGCCACAACGTGGGCTACAAGAAGATGGTGCTGCCCAACCTGCTGGAGCACGAGACCATGGCCGAGGTGAAGCAGCAGGCCAGCAGCTGGGTGCCCCTGCTCAACAAGAACTGCCACATGGGCACCCAGGTCTTCCTCTGCTCGCTCTTCGCGCCCGTCTGCCTGGACCGGCCCATCTTCCCGTGCCGCTGGCTCTGCGAGGCCGTGCGGGACTCCTGCGAGCCGGTCATGCAGTTCTTCGGCTTCTACTGGCCCGAGATGCTCAAGTGCGACAAGTTCCCCGAGGGGGACGTCTGCATCGCCATGACCCCGCCCAACGCCACGGAAGCCTCCAAACCTCAAGGTAAGCCCTCCTGCCCCGATACCCCGGGCGGCTTGGGAGTCCGGGATTCGCCGGGCTGCAGCGGAGGATGCGGGAACGCCTTTCCCCGCCACCCGCATCCCCCGGCCGCCGCTGCACCCCGGAGTTCGGACGTGCGCCCTAGAGATTGCTCTTAGGCTGTGCAGAGTGATTTCTCACCGCTTCCAGCCCTTCCGAGGTGTTTGCCTAGCGCCCCTCCCGGTCCAGGTGCATGGACCTCGGGGCTCGTCCTGCTGCGACGGCTGAGCCTCCCCCCTCCCTTAAACGGGGTCGCGCTTCTGGAGCCGCTCTTCTCGGGGTCCAGTCTCTCTTTTCCATACCTGAGACAAAGCCTTAAGCTCCAAATGAAAGGAGAGCCCGTCTCTCCTCCGAGAGAGAACCGAGTCCCCGTCGCAGTGTTTAACACCCCAGACAGGATGTGCCAGGAGGGAAAAGCCCGATACTGTAGAAAGCCCAGGAAGGCCGAGAGCATGCTAAGGAGCAGCTTTATTTTCGTAGGTTCCATGAGGATTCAAACAAACACACACACGCACAAACAAATAACTTTTCCCTTAGCTAGTCCTTCACCCAGGAGCACAAGCTGCAGTTCTGGCTGAGGAAGAAAGTTTTAGAAACCCGGCATTTCTGTTTCCCCATCCCTTTCCAGGTAACACTTTGGGGAGGGTTGGGGGGGGGGGATGGAAAAAATCTCTTCTTTCTCATTCTTGCATACCCCCTGCTTCTCTCATTTACACCAATCCTCAGGTAATTAGAAAGATAAAAATGTAATTAGTTCATTGTTCACCTCTCCTTGGGGAGTGGGATTTCTGAGTTTTGCTTAACTGTCTCGGGGACCACCCGAGGTTCCTAGAAGTCCCTGCCACTGAAAGGGCAGTTCTTGAGTGGCGGCGGTGGGGTGGAGGGGGGTGGTGGGTGGTGTGTGTGTGTGTGTGTGTGTGTGTGTGTGTGTGGAGGGGGGAGATCTCCAAGAGGCAACACAACAAAACAAACCAGCAAAACCCCCAACTTGGTGGCCTGACTTTTATAGGAGTGAATTCAACCCTGAATTCTTTGGAAGCAGAGTTGAGATTTAAGGATGTGGAGATAGACTGAGATGGGGAGCCATACCCAGGTGTGCTTAGCACACGAGCTGGTGTCTGGAGGGCTTTTCAGTGTGAGGCTGGCTGCTTGCTGATTTCACCCATCCTCATGTGATGCCATAAAGAGATGTTCCCCCAGAGTGAGGATGGGGGTAGGTATGGAGAAAGGGGCACTCTGAACTTTGAATGCACTCACTTATTCTGGGAAGGGAGGGAGATCAGGCTGAGGTATTTGATGTTGGGTGGCATGAGTCCTGGCCGGTTGGAAAGGCAGCAGCCTGCCTGCGGTGGCAAAGTCTGGGCACCTCTTGCTCTCCGCTTCCTGGGTGTCTGCACAGGGTTAACCTTTGGGAAGTGCAACCCCGAGAGCTGAGCAATTACCTAGAGCAAACAAAGCACGTTGTGTTCTTCTGTGGAGCCTTCCCCTGCAGCCCACAGCATTTTCCTTCTTCCCTTCCTCCGCCGCCAGCCACTGGGGATTAGCCCAGCCCAGCCCTGTCCGGGAGGCTGGGGCCAGCTCATCTTTCTGGGACAGCTAGTTGGTGGACATGGAGACCTTTGGGGGAACACTTTCTGGGGGAAGATGGGAAGGCTGGCCGGGAAGCCTACTTAGGAAGAGGAAAGAATCCTCCCAGCCGGACTCCAAAAGGCTGGGTGTCTTCTTGAAGCCGTTTACTCTTTGGCTGCTGTTCCACTTGTCTGCTTCCTCTTGCCGGGCCTTTTCGTACATCCTCCCCTCTGCTTCCTCCATCCTAAGTAGTCACCTTCCCAAGACCAGCTGCTGAACAGAGAGGCTGTGAGAGGTCCAGTCAGGCATGGGACCAGGGAATTGGTTCTCCTTCAGCATTTTTGGTGAGAGCCTCTGCTTTGAGAAGGAAGCTGGTCCTCCTCAGCACTACAGCCACTCAGTGGGAGCCCCTGCTTCTCTGAGGCAGGACGGCCACTGGAGGTGGAAAGGCTGTGTGTGTGTGCATATGCATATGTGTGTAAGTGTGTGCGGTGTGTGTGTGTGTGTGTATGTGTGTGTAAGTGTGTGTGTGGTGTGTGTGTGTGTGTGTATTGGGACAGGCTGAGATGACCGCACTACTGGTCGTTATAACCTTATGGCTGGTAGCTCCCGAATAAGAACTGGTGCTTTTGGATGGCAGTAAGTATATATGCACTATTTTATTGTTTTATTCTTTAAAATTAAAACAAGAGTTTTCAAAGCAGCATCAGATCTCTGCACGATTTAGCTGATTTCTGTTTACATACTTTGGGGTATTGGGCCTCCCTTTGTGGACATGTGTTATTAAAGATAAACTTAGTTATGAGAAATGAGGCAAAATACATGTCCCCTCCCCCCACTTCCCAAGGCCATGGCCTGAGCCTCATCAAGCATCTGTTATGGGAGAGGCGATGGCTCTTTCCCCAGGAAAGTCATTTCTAAGTCTTGCACTTACATTAGACCTGTGCACTCTGCTAAGTCCTCCCCCCTCCCTGCCAGGTTCTACTGATTGAAGTTGTGTGTGTGTGTGTGTGTGTGTGTGTGTTGCGACAGGCTGAGATGACAATGAGCAAATACTTTTAGTTTGGTCTTGTTGTTGTTTAGGCATGTTGTGCAGTAAATCAGCCTGGCTGTTCTAGTCACAGATCACAGAGGCCACAGTGTGAGCGTCATGACCAAGAGCCTTCTACAGAGCCCTTCCCCATGTATCCAGGAGCTGCTGGGGGAGAACTGCTGTGTGTGTGTGTGTGTGTGTGTGTATGTGTGTGTGTGTGTGTGTGTGTGTGTGTGTGAGAGAGAGAGAGAGGCGGGGGGGCGGAGAGGTAGAGGGGGGGCTGTGCTATGTTTGAGAGAGAGGGAGGTAGAGAATGTGCGAGGTGCATGTGTGTGCGTTGATTTTTAAAAAATTCACTTAATCCCGATTCCAACTTGGGACTTTCTCTTCTTTATCTATTAGTAAAACACAAACGTTTTAGGTTTTGTTTTCTTTGCTTTAAACGTTACTTTAAATCCACTTTAAAAGGGGTTTTGTTCCACCTCTCAGATAGATGACTGGGTGGATTTCTCCTGCTGAGGCCGCCTGCGGGGCCCCAAGGACAGTTGGAGGGGCACAGATTAATATTGCATTACACATTCCACCTTCTCTGGATCGAGCTGCTGGTGCTGCAGAGTCTGCTGCTGCTCCAGAGTTGGCTATAAGGAAAGCAAGATGGGGGGGAAGCTACGCTGAACTCACCTCAGCAAGATCCTGCAGCCCTGAGCGACGCTGCCGGCCAAAGGTCACTGATGGCACGGAGGGAAGTGCCCCTGTGGGGAACGCAGTGTATCTACACCATGTGATGCGAGTGTGTGGAGCAGATGGAGACCTGGTGTTTACATTCTGATGGCCCTGGTCCCACTACTTGTTTAGTCAAGGTTGTTTTCATAGAACCTTGCAATGTGATCGTTTCCACTTTTTTAAAAAATAAGGAAACAAGGAAAATCCCACAGCAAAGTTGATGCTCCCACTATAAGTAACAACGTGCCTTCCCATATTGCGGGACTTCCTTTCCCTGTTTTTCTCCCCAGGGAAGCAAGAACCATATGTAAGACGCTGGCTAAGTTTTTCCCTTGGTTAGAAACACTACCAGTTTCAAATTTGATTTTGTGTGAAAAGCAAATTTCCAACATCTGGGCCAACAGACAGTCAGGCAGTCTTCTGCTTGGAGTGTGGCTATGGCTCCTGCTGCACTGAGAATCTGGATGGTGTTTGGCTCTGGGTAAAAAGACCAAGGCATGTGGTCTCTGCTAGGCCCTATAGGGACCCCCTGGGAAGTTGGGGGGTGGGCGGTCAGCTCTCGGCCAGTTGTGTCCTGGGAGCAGCCTTGATTTGGAAGAGCTGTGCAGCTCCCTACCTACCCCCCCCCCCCAACATTTCACTGAGCCATTGGGGAGCTCCCTGAGGAGGAGATGCTATCCCAGAAGCCATGGAGAGGGACAGGAGGAAACAGGATGAAGAGCCTTATATTTGAGCAGAGGTCACTCAGACCACATCCTTCCTTGAGGTATCTTTCCTTTGCTCCTTAGCTCCAGCCTGGCATGGCCTCTAATGCTGTGCCAAGGATGGGGTGCCCTTGGAACATGCTAATGCTTTCTTCCTAGATCATAGATAAAACACATGGTTTGAAAGAAAGGTGACAGTGATGGTGAGGATGATAGTGGTAGTGATGATGATTGTGGTGGTGATGGTGATGGTGGTGAGGATGGTGATGGTGATGATAAGCCACTCTGCCCTTCTGGGGATTCCACTGTATCTCCTTCTCCCTGCCCTTCCACAGAGACAATTTATGTCCCCAGGATTCCTCTAGCATCAGCAGCATTTTGATTTGGAGGAGGCCTCTAGCCCTGGCCTCAGATGCCTCTTCCCCTGGAGCTTAGCCACCTACCAGTGGCCCTCAGGTCGGCCATACACACATCTCTTCAAAGCGCTTCTCAGTGCTGTGAAAGTGCCTCCAGGCAGGCTCTCTCATCCAGCTCTCTCCTCCCATTTGGCAGCTCTTGCTAGCAGTTGCCTTTTTAGAGAGGGATGTTCTGGGCCTGGGGTTAGGGTTCATGTGCTGACTGAGTTTTTATTTCTTGGCTCCTAAAGAGCCGGTCAGATTGACCTGCTGTCTTGTTGGGAGTTTGGGAATGGGCAGGGGGTGGGAACTGGATGGGGATATTAAAAAGGGGGGTGAGGGTGGGGAGGAGGGTGGAAGAACAGGAAACTAACAACTGGAATAGATGTGTTTGGTTTATAAGTCAACTTTCCCCAGAGACCCACCATACCCCATTAAGCCACAAGTTACAGGTCTGGCTCCACCCAGCCCCAGATATTGTTGCTGTAAATAGGTTTGCCATATTCAGCAGCTCTAGCCCCGAAATTTTCAAGAAGCCCTATGTCTGCTTATAGCTTTAGGTTGTGGGCTTTAGTGATCTCTTTCCCAGGGAAGGCTTCTCTCTGCACCCATCAACCCCATCACTCACAGCTCCCTTTTCTCCTCCTCTCCCTTCCTAGGCACAACTGTGTGTCCTCCGTGTGACAACGAGTTGAAATCTGAAGCCATCATTGAGCATCTCTGTGCGAGCGAGTTTGGTAAGAAAGCATCCCTGGCTGCCTTGGGGAGGTTTGGCATTCCATGCTTCCTCCCGGCCCGTGTCCCTGCTGAGCAGAGCCTGTTGATCCATCTTTTGGGGGGCGTTATGTTCTCTACCTCTGGCCTCCCTTGTGGCTACTTCTCAGGCAGAGGGAAGACTAGACAGGGTGGGGACCCGAGCGGTGTTATTAAAGTCAAACTTTGCTTCTGTCCTTCTGTGTGGGAGGTCCCTGGACAGGTTTTTGGCCACCTTCTCTAAGAGCAAGGGAGGTAGACTTGGGGACAAGTGAACAGGAACTAGGGGGAAACACCACTCCTTGGACACTACCAGGAGGTACAGTGGGCAGCTAGGGCTGGTCTTCTCTCCGCACCGGCTCTTTCTCCATCCACCCCTAGGTGTCAGCATCACTCTACCCAGGATCTAAAATGGCTGGTGGCTGGGTGCCTTCCTAGGGAGGTGAGTCCACTGTTAGGGCATTCAGAGAAGGGGACCCTATGAGATCCTTCCAGGCAAAGAAAGTTGACACCCCACGGTATTGGGATTTAGCTTCATTTCCCCCAATCATTCTGGGTTAAAAGGGAATTTCGAATCAGCACTTAGAGCCCAGGAGAAGGGCTTGATGTGTCCTGGACAGCTGGTCTCAGGTGGCCTTTCAGGGATGGGCCCTGGTGGGGATGTGGTGGAAGACCCGTGCTCCAGACACCTTGGCGTCCCTCCTCGGGGAGAAATAAATGTTCACTGCATCCATTTGAACGTGAACAGGGGGTTTCTCATGATGCCTGCACTGTATCCCTGAGGCTGGATTTTGTACAGAATTCTTACCAGGAAAAGCTGAACGGTAGGTAACGCGAGTGTGCCCTTCCAGAACCACCTACCCAGTGTTTCATTAACTAAACATCATCAAGTACACGAAAGGGCCTCGTACTGGCAGAGTGCCACGTCTGAATGAGCTGCACACGTATGTGCGTGCACACACAAGTTAAAGGACATTGTACATATGACAGATGTGCCCTCAGGGTATTTGCCATGGTGACTGAAGACACTTTGGGGAATTGAGACCCTTTGCCATGGAAAACTTCTTGAGAAGGGATGTGTTTTGCATACTTAATTTCTTTTTTAAAACATATTTTTATTGATTTTAGAGAGAAAGAGAGAGATAGAAAACATTAATGATGAGAGAAAATCATCGATTGGCTGCCTCCTGTATGCCCCATGCGTGTGCCCTTGACCAGGATTGAACCTGGGATCCTTCAGTTTGTAGGCTGATGCGTTATCCACTGAGCCAAACTGGCCAGGGCTGCATGCTTCATTTCTACACTAGGTGTCTCTGTCTGCCTCCTTCATCCTTGGGGAGGACAGCAGGACCTCAAAGATTTGGTCTATTCTGCATTTTGCTGCGTGTGTTTATCGCACACTTTTCCTTGTTGTCATCTTAAATGTACTCAAAAGAAATTGTTATAGAGGGCTCTGATTACCCTGCCATCTGACCTAGTGACATTTGCTTCTTGATGGCCACACTCTTGCTTTGTCAGGAGGTGTTCAATGCCAGGCTGAGCCTGGCGGGTCTCCTGTGAGAAAGCCTGTGGGTGTGCAGCCCCTCACTGCCTTAGCAACAAGCTTTTCATTCACATATGGGATTGGGATTTCTTCCCAAAGACGCCTTTGGATATGGAGAAAAAGGACATAAAATCACTCAGAAATCCTGATGAGAAGAGGTCTTTTGCTACATGGCCGGGGCCGGAAGAACCTGCTCACGTATGGCTGTGTTCCTGAAGGATCCTTAGGAGAGATGATGAAGGGGCCACTCTTGCAGATTTCATTGATCCTCTTCAGCTATTGTAAATCACCACACTTACTTTCAGAAATTGCCCCCCTGGCATTTCAGCAAATCCACGGAATCATATTAAACTCTGAAAGGTAATATATTAGCTGATGTGAATGCTCATGTGACTTTTATCAGGCTCAGCTCCTGAGGGAAGAGTGATGGAAAACCCTGGAACTGAGTGTGGAGGTGACTGGCAGGGGGTGTCTTCCTGGTATGGAGCTCAAATCCAGTGCATCTGATTATTCACTGATTCACATGTCTATACATTAAATGTTTCTTGAGTGCAAAGCTCTGTGTTAGATGCCATATGAAAAATACTTACCTAAGATAAATTAAAATTTAACTTTAAGAAATTTTAAATCCCGACCAAATACTAATCAATGATTTTTTAGACACTATGGAGTCATTTTATAACACACCAGCTGAAGAGAGGGGCTGTGGGGACTCAAGGCCAAAGTTAATGCTAAGGTGGTCTGAGAAGAGATCCATGCTTATGCCCCATACCAACTTGAACTTGTCATCAGGCTTCCTCTAATCTCCCCCAATTACCCATCAACATTCTAGTAACGGGGGGCTTTGTGGCAATTAGTGACACTGGAGACATTCCCTAGAGGGGAGCTGAAGAGTCAAGCCTTGGGAAATAATTGATGGTGTAGGCCCTGTAGGGTAAGAGTCTGGTGCTCAAGTAACTCACCTGGGGATGGACATCTTTTCCCTAATATGGCAGGTGCCTACTAAGTCAGTAAGCACCTGCTCACGGCTTCCAGGAAAGAGGGTTCTTTATCTTATGTTAATAACCAATCAGGTCTTGGTGAATCTGAGTGATTAGCTCTTTGGGACTGTGTTCTTCTAGCTCCGAGATTATTTGGTTCATAGAACTTTTGACTTTCTCCCGGAACGTGCAGGTCACCTTATCAAGTTCACTTATTTCATAAATAAGGAATCTGACTTTCTCAACTGGAGTTGCCTTCCCCTTTAAGAAAAGACGAATGGCCGCTGGACTTAGCCGTAGAGACATTTATCTCTCCAGCATGGGTGTGGTATATACCAGGCCTCTTTGATTTGGACGCAGAGAGAGTTTTAGTTTTTTTTTGTGTGTGTGTGTGTGTGATGTTCTTCTAAGACAATAAGTAGGCTTCCCCCCTCCTCTCTGCAGGGTCTGAGCCTAGCTCTGCCCTTCTCAGCACCCCGGAGAATACAGCCGGCGGGGAACTTGTTCTAAGCAGAGTTCATTTCAAGGAAGTGAGGCAGTTTGCTTACACTGATGGGATTCAATTAGGAAACAAAGACATTCGGCAATGTCAGCTGACACACAACAGAAAAGAAAAAGAACATTTTACTCCCTACCCCAGGGATCAAACTTTGCAGTAAGTGGCCCTGACATCCCGGATGGGAAGACATCAGGTGGTTGGAAGGCTCTCTGTGAGCTCCAGGAACAAGGGGTGCATTCCTTCTGGGTCAGCACGCACCCTGGCCCTCCTGCCAACACATTCGTACTCCCACATAGCCTGCCACCCCTCCTCCTCCTCGGGCAGCGCATGCTTCACTGCCTGGTGTGCTTGGCCACCGGTCTCTCCACCCCTGCGCTGGACCCCCTTGGTCCAGAACACATTTTTTCCCCCCCAACAGGGAAAAGCATCAGTAGAAACACCTGTGTGCTGATGCTCAGGAATGCAGCTGGATCAGCCTGGATCAAGCACCAGATGGGGGAGAGCCAAACGTTAGGTGGTGCCGTTTCTGAATTCAAGTTGGTGGCCAGCCTGCGTGCGGTGCTCGGTGTAGGATGTCCCGGTCTGCTTCTTATCCTCTCTGGTTTTCCAGCTGCATGACCGCAGGGTGCTGCTCTCTCCTGTTACGCAGGCCGATGTGGTATTGCAAGTGGCCACACTAACGATCCTGCTGTTAGTAACCCAAGATCCATGGCCGTCTCCAGGTCAGCATGTCCCAGGGATGTGAGGGTCTGACTTATAATGGCTGCCAGGTTAGAACCCCACCTCTGGCCACTCACTCTAGCTTCTCCAGAATCTGCAAACACCCTTCAGCTTTCCTGCTAGAAAGGTGCATGATGATGAGATAGTTCAGAGCTTTCTTTTACCGGCTTCCACAGTTTTCTTGAGCTTGTGAGTTTAGTTGACAACTTATTAAAAAAAAATATGTGTGTGTGTGTGTGTATGTATATTTATATATGTGTATATATTTATATATACGTATAAAATATATATGTATATATATTTATATATGTATATTAGTTGTCATATATATGACAACTAAAAAATAAGTTGTCATATATATGTATATTTATATATATGACAACTTATTTTTAAAAAAATATATATATTTATTTATATATATACATATATACACACATATATATATGTTATTGATTTTTTACAGAGAGGAAGGGAGAGAGGGATAGAGAGTTAGAAACATCGATGAGAGAGAAACATTGATCAGCTGCCTCTTGCACACCCCCACCGGGGATGTGCCCGTAACCAAGGTTCATGCCCTTGACTGGAATCGAACCTGGGACCCTTCAGTCCGCAGGCCCATGCTCTATCCACTGAGCCAAACCGGTTTCGGCAGTTGACAACTTCTTTAGCCCGGTATTTTTTCACTGTGGAAAAAGATTTCTTTGCCCCCAGAAATTTTCCTTGCTTTCTGGAAGGATCTCCTCCACCCCCTTCATTTATATGTTTCCTCATAAAGAGTAAAACCATACTTTTGCAACACTAAAAAATGAGTCAAAGAGGAAAGCAAAAAAAATCAGCTCTCATGTAGTGTTTGGGAATGTTTCCTAGAAGAAGGATGTTTAAAGGTTCCCTGCACCTTCGCAAATCTGTTCTCACTCCTTTTCCAAGGTGTCTTGGCCGTGCTGCCGTTCGGAGACACAGTGTTTTCTGCGGGAGGGCTGTTTGATCTCTTGCAAGAGTAGGTCCAGCCTTTCCAAACTGAGCCTGGAGTTTCCTCCCACAGAGGAGGAAAAGGGGCTGCCAGCAAAGTAATTGCAACATCTGTAAGCTGCTTGAGAGCAGGATCTGCATCTTGTACCGTATTTTACTTAATATGAGATGCCTGTTAATTGTGGGATGCACTATTGGTTTGGTACCACGGACAAAGAAAAACATAGCTTGTGTTCAAATGGAATGATAATCTGCGCCTTAGAATGGACAGAA